ATTTATGGAGACATATGACTGTACAAGTCCTAAAGTTCAATCACACACAGACATGCAAATCGATGCAAGAGTGGTGCACAAATGGTAAGCATGCAAGCCCGAGGTAACACATGTCCCTACAGCCGGAGGACAATGACCAAGACGTAAGTGACATGAACTAGATGTGAACAAGAACGGCTGCAGGACGGAAGGCACCTACTGTAGGGATGAGTGTCAACACCAAAACCAATAGGTGCCGACCCAAAGTAAGGACCAAAATGACATAACAAGGGTCCAGACACCAATCACACGCGAGGAATGACACAATGGGCAAGGGAAGTAGGGTTGTGGATATGAGACATTTCATCGAACACCTTACAGGCATTTGAAACACAAGGAAGATAACCTACAAATGCAATAAGGCAGTAGACACCCAACATATCTTAACAACACCATCGACCCAGCATTCAAGAAACACCCAATCTCAAAATTTCCAAATGGCGAAGAAAAAAACAAACAAACGGGTTAAGCGATGCACTTACCAATTGGGAACAAGGAAACACCAATGAATGCACACAAGGATGAGGAATTGAAGCCCCACACGAATGAAATGAAGTGCAAATCGACCGAAGAGGGTCGTCGCGAGAGAAAATGCGAGAGAGAGATGATAAAAAAATGAAAAAAAAATGACCCGGAACCTTTCGTGAGAAAATTAAAAGTCTAGCTATCGCACATCGAACGACAAGACACTGATTTTGTCACTCGAGCGAGCGAAGGGAAAATGTCAAAAATAGCACTTAAATTGAAAATTTTAAAAGTTAGCCTCAGGTTCAAAACTTTGCAAAGTAACAGCACTTCAAAAATTTTCAAAAATAGCACATTTTTCAGAAATTTGAATTTTGACCCCAATTTTTTTTTAATTTAAGATACATGAACAGTGCAGAGGCAATTGGTCCAATCAAAGGCAATAGATCACAAATACGGTATGCAAAGTGATTAGAAAATGTTTCCCCACACACCGGGACCAAGTACAGATGGAGTAAATTATATATGTGACCCCTCGTGAAATGAACCACTCATTCCAAGGAAGTAAAACACAAAAAACAAAAGGGTTAAGCGATGCACTTACCAATTGGGAACAAGGAAACACCAATGAATGCACACAAGGATGAGGAATTGAAGCCCCACATGAATGAAATGAAGTGCAAATCGACCAAAGAGGGTCGTCGCGAGAGAAAATGCGAGAGAGAGATGATAAAAAATGAAAAAAAAATGACCCGGAACCTTTCGTGAGAAAATTAAAAGTCTAGCTATCGCACATCGAACGACAAGACACTGATTTTGTCACTCAAGCGAGCGAAGGGAAAATGTCAAAAATAGCACTTAAATTGAAAATTTTAAAAGTTAGCCTCAGGTTCAAAACTTTGCAAAGTAACAGCACTTCAAAAATTTTCAAAAATAGCACATTTTTCAGAAATTTGAATTTTAACCCCAATTTTTTTTAATTTAAGATACATGAACAGTGCAGAGGCAATTGGTCCAATCAAAGGCAATAGATCACAAATACGGTATGCAAAGTGATTAGAAAATGTTTCCCCACACACCGGGACCAAGTACAGATGGAGTAAATTATATATGTGACCCCTCGTGAAATGAACCACTCATTCCAAGGAAGTAAAACTCAAAACCTTAAATTTGTGAGAAGAGATAGTCAAATCACCACGTAGGAGTCAACGTTTAAACATTTGAAGGTCAAATCTAATGCCACTAGGACCTATACTTCGTTAAAATATGGTGTAAAACTGTTCTTTCTCTCCCTGACATTAAGGACCACCATTTTTTTTTTATCTTAGGTGCAATCCCATCTTCATTAAGGTACTAAGAAGACCCCTATAATGAGTGTTTGGTTGGTAACTCCCAAACCAATTGGCTTTAGGGCACTAGGTTATGAGAAACCCCTCAGACTTAATTGTTCGAGTCATCTAGGCTCCGAATATAGTATAAGATGTGATATAATAAATATATTGTGGAAACACTCGAGGGTACACCAGAAGTTAGGTCATCTAGTCCAACATCAAATCAAATCCAATGTCTACTCAATGACAGGTGATAGTCATCCCAAATCTCACACATGCGATCAAGACTCACTCACACGGTCCTTGTGTGTGTTGTGCAAATATAATATGAAGTGAGATATACTAAGTACTCCATACAAACTCAAGATAAGGGATGGGAATTAGAAACTAATCATTGGTAGAATGCACATTTGATTTCAAATTGCAACTCCGAGTGAATAATTACAATGCAAAAATGACACGTGATGATCAATCCCCCCTTTTATTATTATTATTATTATTATTATTATTATTATTATTATTATTATAATTATTATTATTATTATTATTTTAAATGAAAGACATATGCAAATGAACAAAAATAGGCAACGTAATGAATGCAGAAAAGAATGCATGCATCTATGAAGACAATCAGGGAGGAATATAGATGCCAACATCCTTCCTAAGTGATTCGAATCTAAACCCTTCTAGAGGTTTAGTGAACAGATCGACAAGTTGATTTTCAGTAGAGATGTGTTCGAGTGATATCACATTGGACTCAACTAGCTCTCGAATAAAGTGATGACAAATGTCAATGTGTTTGGTCTTAGAATGCTGAATATGATTTTTTGATATGTTGATAGCACTAGTATTGTCATAGAAAATAGTCATAGTACCCTGATTTATCCCATAGCCACTCAGCATTTGCTTCATCCAAAGCAGTTGAGTGCGACAGCTACCAATTACAATGTATTCTGCCTCGGCTGTGGACAAGGAGACTGAGTTTTGTTTCTTACTAATCCATGAGACAAGATTAGAACCAACATAGAAACATCCACCCGAGGTACTTTTCTATCATTGGCATTTTTGGCCCAATCGGCATCAGAATAGCCGGCTAGTTCTAGATTGGACTCTCTGGAATACAAGATCTTACGATCTACTGTCCCATTGACATATCTAATAATGCGCCTCACTACACCTAGATGGGACTCCTTAGGATCAGCTTGAAATCTGGCACATACTTCAACACTGAACTCTATGTCAGGTCTACTGGCTATAAGATATAGTAGACTGCCTATCATAATACACAGTCTAATCAACACTCTTGCCTGTAGGATCATGTCAAATAGGTGTCCTTGTGTGTTTCTTACTGTCCAAGACAAATCTCTTCACAAGGTCTTCGGCATATTTTGATTGAGAGATAAGCAGCCCACAATCAGTTTACTTTACTTGAAGACCAAGGAAGTAACTTAGCTCTTCAGCCATGCTCATTTCAAATTCTTGTTTCATGCATTCAGCAAATTCAAGAGCAAGAGAGTCAATGGAGGAACCAAAGATGATGTCGTCGACATAGATCTGAGCTACAATGATAATTTCTTCAATATGTCTAGTGAATAAGGTTTTGTCAGCACCACCTCATGAGAATCCATGCTCAACGAAGTAAGTGGTAAGTCTATCGTACCAAGCTCTAGGAGCTTGTTTCAAACCATACAGTGCTTTATTGAGTTTGTAGACATAATGAGGAAACTTAGGATCAATGAATCCTTTCGGTTGTTCAACATACGCCTCTTCTTGAAGTATTCCATTTAAGAATGCACTCTTGACATCCATTTGATATAGCTTGAATCCTAAGGTACATGCAACCGCAAGAAGAATACGAATGGACTTAAGATGAGCAACTAGGGCAAAAGTTTCATCAAAATCTACCCCTTCCACCTGAGTGTATCCCTGGGCAACTAGTCTAGCCTTATTTCTAGTTATGGTACCTTGGTCATCGATTTTGTTCTTGAAGATCAACTTAGTACCTATCACATTACAGTCATCAGGCCTAGGAACTAGATACCAAACATTATTTCGAACAAATTGATTAAGCTTCTCATGCATGACGTTCACCCAGCATTCATCTCTAAGGGCTTCATCTACTTTCTTAGGTTCAATCTAGGATACATAGCTAGTATATGTTAGGTTATTTAAAACTCCCTTTCGTAACCTCATACCTTCATCTAAATCCCCAATGATGTTAACCTTAGAATGATTAGATTTGACCCTGGAAGATGGTTCTCTAGGAAGCTTAGATTGATCCCAATTTGGTAGACCCTGTTCAGATATGTTTTCTGAGGAGCATGGAGATTTTGGACTTGATTGCTCTTTATTTTCAGCAGTGGCTCCTTGATCATCACTTAGATCTTCTATGTCAACCCCATTTTCAGTACTCTCTCCCTCAGTAAAAGCATCATCAATAACAACATTTACACATTCCAAGACACTTTGAGTACGCAAGTTGTAAACTCGGTAGGCTCTACTATTCTTAGAATATCCTAGAAAAATCCCATCATCACTTTTGGAATCAAACTTGCCTAGATTTGCTCTATCCCTCGGAATGTAACACTTGCTATCAAACACTCGAAAGTATTTAACAGTAGGCTTCTTGCCTTTCCAGATCTCATAGGGAGTCTTGTCTGATTTCGATCTCAAGTATACCCTATTTACTATATGGCACGCGGTGTTAATAGCTTCACCCCAGAAATGCATTGCTAGATCCTTATCGTGAAGCATGGCCCTAGCCATTTCTTGAAGTACTCTATTCTTTCTCTCAACAACTCCATTTTGCTATGAAGTGATTGGTGAAGAGAACTCATGCTTAATCCTCTCCTCCAAACAGAAGTTTTCTAGATTGAAGTTTTCAAATTCTTTCCCATAATCACTTCGAACCCTAGAAATAGGAAGATTTTGTTCAACTTTGAGTCTTTTGCATAAGGACTTAACCAGATCACCCATCTCAGATTTTTCTCTTAACAGTTCAATCTAGGTGTATCTAGAAAAGTCATCTACCACAACCAGAATATACCATTTGCCTCCTAGGCTCTCTACCCTAGATTGTCTCATTAAATCCATATGGAGAAGCTGTAAGGGTCTATTTGTCAAGATTTTCGAGGTTCACTTATGGTTCATCCTAAGTTGCTTTCCTTATTGACACGGCTTGCACACAGCATTCTCACTTTGATCAATCTTAGGTAAACCATCGACAATCTTCTTTTTGACCAATTTAGACAGACTTCTGTAGTTAACATGATCGAGCCTTTGATGCCAAAGTTCAGACGTATCAATTTTAGTACTACTGCATACATAGTTCAAATTTAGAAGAACTCCATTACAGTTATCAAAAGTTCTAACACCTTCAAGAACAACACCACCAGAAGCGTCATAAACAGTGCATCTCTTTTGGACAAAACTCACTTCAAAGTCAACATCACAGATTTGACTAATGCTCAATAAGTTGGACTTAAGACCCTTTACATAAAGTAAATTGGATATTGTAGAAAGTCCAACAATGGTGATGGAGCCTTTACCTCGGATGGGTGCCGTAGCTCCATCCCTAAAGGTAACTACACTGCCGTTGCAGTCATCAAAGGTAGAGAATAAGGCCTTGTTACCACACATGTGTCTAGAACAAGCACTATCAAGATACCACATGCATGTATTTTGATCCTTATATGTAACATGAGCAACAAAACATTTTAGATTCTCAATATACTCACCCACATTAGATTTATTTACCCAAACTTTTCTCGAGGTCGAGGTGATCCTAGTCAACCTCGTTACCATCTCAGTTAAGTAACTAACCTGATTTGAAAGGAAGTTCACTTGACGAGGGATATCCTGACTTCGATTCCTATTTGCTAGCTTTCGACACCTAGGTCTCGTGTGGCCTAAGGCACCACAGTGATGACAAGTAGGTATGAACCTAGATTCAGATGCACGTGAGTGTTGATCATGAAAATTAGGTGTAAAAATCTTATGAGCTCTAGTGGCCTTCAGTCTAGTGAAATTTTTATCTTTGGATTCTGGATTTGTTGAAACATTAGATCTGTTGGAAATGGGGACAAATGTGGTCTTGGATAAACTAGACACATTGTTATCACTCTTAACAAATCCTAGACCTTGCCTATTTCCAGCTGGTTTGTTCATTCCTATCAGATCGTCTAGTTTCTTAGTTCCACTCACAAATGACTGTGGTTGAGTGCTAGATTTCTCTAATTCACAAGTCAATGTCTTGACCTTATCCTCCAATTTCTCATTGACACACTTCAACTCATTGAGATTCTTAGATGAGACTTGAAGATCATAAGTGATTTTCTCCTTCTCTCTCTCAAGCTCGTCTACTTTCTTAAATAGAGCTTTATTTACCTTTTCGATCATGAAACTTTCCTTGAACAGAAGTTGATAAGCCTCATGTATATCCGTCTCATCCTCCGAATCATCACCGAACTTGTTACTCTCCACTTCCTGCTCAACCTTCTCACTCTCCTTGTCTGACTCGATCTTGACAGTAGATACAAAAGCCATACAGCCCTTTTCCTCCTCATTGCTTAAGGAATCATTTTGTTCACTTGAATTAGAATCATCATCAGTCAAGGACACAGCTAATGCCTTGCTACTCCCTTTCTTTAGATTTTTCTTAAAGCTATGACATTCATTTCTATAATACCCAAATCCCTAACACTCATGACACTTAACCACTTGAGATTTCTTACCAGGGTTCTTTGCAGTTGATTTATCATCCTTCTCTCTTTGCAATTTACTAAGGGCTCCTCTCATTTTCTCTTGAGGCCATTTTTTGTCCTTTAAGACTTTCTGGAATTGTTTCACAAAGTAGGCAATCTCCTCGTCTCTAAGAGTTTCCACGTTAGATGACTCAAACTTTCCTTCCCAAACAGTGTTCAAGGCTATGGACTTGTTTTTCCTCGGTTGTGAAATGGTGAGTTCATAGGTTTGAAGGGATCCTACGAGTTCTTCTATCTTAATTGTATCCAAATCCTTGCTTTTTTCAATAGCTGTAACTTTAGGTATAAATATCTCAAGCAAGGATCTAAGAACCTTCCTCACAATTTTGGGCTCGAGAATCCTCTCACTTAGATTGAAACTAGAGTTAACAATACCATTCAATTTGGCATAAAACTCATCGAAAGATTCATCATCCTTCATCCTGATTTCTTCAAACCTTGAGGCCAGCATTTGCAACTTAGAAATTTTCACAGTTTTAGTTCCTTCATGCATTGTCTCAAGAATATCTCATACCTCTTTAGTAGTGTCGCACATTGACACTCTTCTAAACTTTTCAGGAGATACAGACATAAATAATGCATGGAGACCTTTACTATTCCAGTTGCATTCAGCCAATTCATCCTTAGTCCAAAGGAAAATGTCAGTTGGGGTTACAACACTCGACACAATTTTAGAAGGAGGTTTCCAACCATTTTGTACACTCACCTAGACACGTTCATCTAGGGACTTAATAAACACATGCATTTTAACCTTCCAATAGGCATATTTGCTTCAGTCAAAATACGGAGGCACGGACAGTGATTAACTCATCTAGACAACTATGGGTCAGGACTCGAGATTTGGCTCTGATACCACTTAAAATATTGTAGTTCGACCCAATTAACACTTAAAGGGGAGGTGAATAGGTGTTTATGCGAAATTTTCTTTTTCAATCAATTAATAATTGCAACACGTCACAAATATTAATTTGTCCAGATCACTTCACATACTTTACTATCCTATGTTTGAATACTGGTCTTAAATTAATTGCAGAAAGATAAATAATACAATTGTTTGATGACGGAGAAACCTCAATGTGGGTAAAACTCGAGGCCCAAGTCAGTAGGAATCCACTATAAACGAAAATGAAACTTATAATCCGCCAGACTCAACCTACACTGGTTTTTCTGACATCCTAACCATAATTTCCTCAAAGCCTTCCTAGAATGCGTGATCTTGCACCAACTCCCAGCACCTAGCCCTCCAGGATTGCGTGCTGCACCAATTGCCGGCTCTTGATTTTGTCTATCTCCTGTGGATTCAAGAGAACCGCCTATTTTCTAATGATCGGGACTCTAATCTCCTTCCTCAATCTCCAAGAATCAACAAAGGCTCTAGAATGTTGTGTTGTGATGTTTGGTGAATGTTGATTTAATATTTTTTATGTAATTGCTCAAATCAAATAAGGGGTTGAATAAGAGAATCAAAGTGTGGAGAGTTTTCTTCAATTTCAAACCCTTGAAAGCACAAATGACAATTGGCACAATTTTTCTTATATTCACTGTATTTGGTTATTTTGGTCGGGTTAAAATGTCAAAAAAAAGAAAATAGAGTTTTATGGGTAACACTGTCGCTCAAGCGAAAAGCAAGCGACGCTGTTTCGCTTAAGCGAAGTGGGGGCGAGAAGCAAGCCACCATTTGGCGAGCAACTAGCGAAACTTCAACGACACATCTTGCCCTATTTCATAGCTCGAACCCTAGCACACTTTGTTAAAATTGCAACTGAGTCCCTCATCTTTTACATATGTACGCAATGACCCCTAACCTTTAAATATTGACAAATTGACCCCCAAACTTTTGAAAATTTACAATTTTACCCTTTTATTCACAGAATAGCCAACACGAAATCTAACACTGCCCAAATAAAATAACAAACCTTTCGTCAAATATTGCACATTACTCTTACTCAAAGATAATAAAAAGCACTAAATGCTAAAAGGACACAAAAATATTAACAATATGTTTTTTCCTTACAAAAAATAAAATAAAATATGAACACTCTAAATTCTTTGTAGAACTAGTGAGACGCACTTGCAAGGCACGTATTATAATGTACTTGGCTACTTAAAACTTCTTATTTGTTTTCTTCCGCCATATCCATTTGTACAATCAAAATAGAATTTTCTACTTCTAAAAAATATTTGCATCCATATTTAGTTTTATGCATAAGGAAAATAAATAAAACATCAAATTGTTTTAACTCACCATACTGTTTAAACTGCTCAACTCCTCCTTGTTCTCCTAACCCCAATAGAAAGTCAAGGATGTTGTAGATGCTCCTTCGATATTTGGAAATTAAAACACGAAAAAGAGCCAAAAAATCTTCAACTGGAGATTAAGACTCTTATATTATAATGGGGAAATAAGCAACCTAGAAAAAAAGTAAAATTAAACATCAGTTAAAAAAGAGTAAAAGATCTGTAAAATTCTTGCAAACGTAGACAGCATTTCTATGAATTTGACTTCATGGAAATGAGATTTCTAGAAAATATGTCAGAAAACCTGAGATATCATTCAAATGCAACTATGTTTACCGACTAGTTCAAAGTAAGAGCGGTAAGTCTCAGTAGTACTATCCCTTTTGATAAAGCAATGAATTGGAGAATCTTAGGGGTCTAGACAATTGCAATTAAAAAAAAAAAAAAAGACAAACATACATAATGCACTACACATCACGAATTCGTATCTATAATCCATGTGTTCTACATTTACTCGCCTATTATTGAAACTACTAATGAGTTGCCTCACAATTCAGATGTACAACAGCGGATAATTTTAAGATGATTAAATGAAATTATTATTTTATCTTACCTAATACAATGTACCATACGTATCATAAAAAGGATGTTCTTATATGTTCAAGTCATGGTTTCATGCAGTCTTGCTAACAAGCAAGATTTGATTAATTCAACCCTCTCTTTCTTCAGAAATTCTATTTACCTTTAAGTTAAACCCTTGATTTAAGTAAATTAGCAAATAATGATCTCTTATCGAAATTATTAATAACTTGTTTGGTTAAGGTAGACACTGAGATTCCAAACAATTTCAAGTTATACAAATGAGTTAAAAGTTAGTTGTAGTGCTCAATTTCGTGCGAGTTATGGTTTCAGGCACTCGTGCAAGCAAGTATGGTTTGATTAAGTCAAACACTCTATTTAACTACATAAATTATATTTTTTTACATTATCTTTGGAGTAGGAAGTTTCACTATCAAATTCTCATCATGTTACCTAATATAATTAGATATATTAAACTATAATTATTTAGAGAGACTTCAACAATTACTCAAATGACCAAATTAGCCCCAAGACTACTATATATATATATATCTCTGTTGTCACTCTCTATTCCTCACAAGCACAAAAAACCTCACAACATACACTTAGCAAATGGCAAAATCTCAAATTTCCAAAGTCATTTTCTCTGCCCTTCTCATTTGCTTCCTCCTTATAGCATCCAATGGTAAGAAGTCTTTATTTCAATTTTATTTTTTTTCAAAAATAAACGTCTTTTTCAACTTTTGGTCAAGACTGCTTCATGTAAAAAAACTTTATGATGAAGCTACCTTAGTTATTGCTTGAAACTAGTTTTTAAAAGAGATATCTTTCGAAAACTTTTAGAGGAGGCCATATTGATACACTACCTCTATAAGTTCTTTTAAATAGATTTTTCTTTTTAATAAAAATTATCAAACATGTCCAAAATCTGCTTTTGAATCTCAAAATCTTCTTTTGACATTTTAAAAGTCACGCCAAATGTGGCCTTCGTATGTAGTACATTAAACAACTTAACATTTCAATATAGTAAACATGCCATAAGTTTGCTTGATAGTAAGGATATATTCATTAAAATATTTTAATTTTATAGATAATAAAAGAAAAATTACAAACAAGATAGGAAGAAGAAGTCAAGACCTCTGCCAATTAGAATTCTAATCGATTTAAATTGTTATTAAGGATTTGATAGCACTTCAACTAAGAAAAATAATCAAAATTTATTTATCATACTGTGCAGTCTTATTTAGTAAAAGTTGATGACATAATATAAGCATGCATGCAAATGTTGGTAAACTTAGTTAATGTAGCTTCTCTCTCTCCCCCTCTCTCTCTGTGTATATACATATATGTATATGCAGAGGTGCAGATTGTGGAAGCTAAAGTCTGTTCGAGGCTGAGCAGGACATGGTCGGGAATTTGCCTGAATACTGGCAACTGTGATCGACAGTGCAGGAATTGGGAGAGGGCTCAACACGGATCTTGCCATAGGAGGGGCTGGGGATTCGCTTGCTTTTGCTACCGTAAATGTTGAGATTATAGCTAAACAATCTCAACTTGCTTGCACGATAATATCATGAATAAAAGGTTGCTATTAGGTTCGCAACCACAAATGTATTGGAATAACTTGTACCAATGTTGTTTGTGTTTATTGCTGCTTCAAATTTTGTATTGCTTCACAATAAAATGAATGTGTTTTCTTTATCTATCTAAATAAGCTGTCAGAGTACAATATTAATGTATCTCTTCACGTGAGAGACTTCTTTATGTTAAAATCGAAAGGCTACTCTTCTTTAACATTATTGGCTCTTTAAAATGAAACTTTGGGATCAGAGACTCCATAAACATTTAGTCCTCTTGTGTATACTAATTAACACGTTATGCCGAACACCTGAGAAGGAACCCTATTGCTCAACCCCAAATTCATGTCTACCAAATGCTGACGTTTTTCACTCAACACCTCATCAGGTGATGCACCATCAGGCAACCAAATAAAGCATGGAAAAAAAAAACCATTTTGTAATCTCAGAATCACTGCCAATTCTAAATCTCATCAGCTGATCATTTTCCATCTTCACCTCCACCAACACCAGCACTTCATAATATACAAAAGGGTGTTTGCTCGAATGTACATGAGAATTATTAGAGTACACCAAATAACCAAAAAAATTGAAATATTATTAATCAAGAAAACGAATGTGTAATTTACAAACTATTTAAATGACAAAAATACTTTAAACTAGCTATAAAAAAATAAAAAAGAAAAGAAGAAGAAGAAGAAGAAGAAGCTAAAATGAATCCCTAAATGACCAAATTTGTACCAAAAAGTTTGACAATGTTGGCTTGTCGAACTAAAAAATGCTTTTCTGGATTGTACTCGCTCACGAAATATTGACAATCGAGCTAAAAGTTACGTTGGTTTCTGTAGATCCTTATTATTCCTTATCTTTTTTAATTGATTTAGTATTTTGTGTTCTGGCTAGTCCTCAAGGAGAGATGCATTGTGTAATAATCTTTTGAGTACTCTTTCTATTATAACCTACTTTATAGTAATTAAAGTCAAAATTACCTAGTCAAGTCAAGAAAATTTTGATTCAAGTGGTTTCACGGTGACAATTCTAAGCCAATAGAATTTGTCAAGGCCAATTTATATAAAACAAAGAGGCTAAGATGTATGTA